AATTCTGCACTTCCTTGAGTCTTTTCTCCACTGTTTTTTGTTTTCAGCTACAAATAGCATTGTTGGCCTGCAAATTTAAACAAAGTTATTGTAATTGGCAAAGTGGAATGGGAGCACTCATCTGTTTGCATTCCTTTTTGTTTTTACTATTTTTGTAGGAAGCTTGGAGAAGGAATGATGAATTTTGAATGGAAAAGATAGCAGAAAGGGAAAGGATTAGGCTTGTAATCTTCTGAGGAGCTTGGAGTTGAAACATTTTTTTAGGAAGACAAAAACCATCAGTGGATTAAGTGTTCATTCCAATCTGAGATGAATATTCATTGATTGATCTGGGAACATATTTTGCACGTGCCTCTGGGAGGAGCATTTGAGCATCAGTTGCACGGCTAGTCCAGAAGCAGCATCCAGCAGCATCCAGCTGACCTTGGCTGACCTTGGGGGGGAAAACTAAGCAAGGTTAAAAATGGTTAGTATTTATATAAGAGGCTCCCTGAGTGAACAGGGATTTAGGGTAGATTAAGAAATTAAAAACAAACAAAATCAGTAAAGGCAATGTCAAACTATGTATCTTTTGTTGCCAAGAAAATTACAGGTAGCCCTCAGCTTATGACTACAGTTGAGCCCCAAATTTCTGTTGCTAAGTGAGTTTTTAAGTGAATTTTGCCCCGTTTTATGACCTTTCTTGCCACAGTTGTTTAGTGAATCACTGTAGTTGTTAAGTTAGTAACACGGTTGGTAAATGAATCTAGTTTTCCCGTTGACTTTGTTTGTCAGAAGGTTACAAAAAGTGATCACATGACCCTGGGACACTGCAACCGTCATAAATTTGAATCAGTTGCCAAGCCTCTGAATTTTGATCACATGACCATGAGGATGCTGTAAGAATTGTACGTGTGAAAAATGATCATGAGTCCCTTTTTTGGTCCCATTGTAACTTTGAACGGTCACTAAATGAACTGCTGTAAGTTGAGGACTACCTGTATATGGAATCTGTATTCCTCTAGATCAGAGTTTCTTTTTTCAGCAACCTTAAGGTATGTGAATTTCGACTCCCAGAATTCCTCAGCCAACTTCCAGGGGAGTTCTGGAAGTTGAAGTCCACACATCTTAAGGTTGCTGAAACCTTAGGTTTATATGTGGTCTAGGTATTGCTTCAAATGCCAGAGCTCCTTGTTTAAATAGCCAGTAATGAAGGATACTGGGAGTTGTAATTCAGTCATATCTGGAGGGCAAATAAGATCTTCACTCTTATAACAACACCTGCATCCTTCAAGCTTCATTATATTATTTATAACATGATACTCCAGTTAGATTCTCAGAGTTTCCATCTTTCAGTTGTATCCTTATGAATCTTTGAAAAAAAAAAACAAATAATTTTTTAAAATGCAGAAATAATGAGAGAGTGAAGCTTACTAGCCTTTTTTTTTTTTCCTGATCTTCATCTTCATGGGGTTCCATTTGTTGAACATCTCCAGGATTTTTCTGACGTTTTTCTGGGAGAAGAGAAAAGCCAGATTGCACCCAATTCAGGAGGAATGAAAGCACAGATACAGGAGTCAAGGTGATTGGGACACACACACACACAGAAGAGTGACATTTCACTGGGAAGGAAGATGCTAATGGATACCCCACCATTCAATTAATCAATAGGCAATTTGCTTCTTTCAAATAAAAAGCCAGAAAGAATAGACTGGAGTGTCTGATTTCATTGGATATCCATGGACTCTCAGCTTTAATTAACAGGGAAAACAAAGGAAAGTTCTTATAGCCTTTGAGAAAAGTTGGAACCTGGATACAGGGAGTGAGCTGAGTAGAGAATTGATTAGATGCTACTTTTATGCCCTGGGCCATTTCACAATGAAATGAGTATATAAGTCTTTAACATGAATTTTTAAAAAATATCACAAATGTTAGATCAGCTTGATAGTGAAAATGGTCACCCAGAGAGATGGTGGGCTCTTATTCCCATTGGATATGTTCAGCCAACTTGTCTGAGATAACTCAGTCGGTTTTCTTGCACTGAGCAGGGGGTTAAACTTGATGACCTAAATGGTCTCTTCCAACTTTGTGGTTGTGTGAGAGCTTGTATCTGAATTTTTGTTCTGTGTGTGTGTGTGGTTCAGTTGGATGGGTGAAGTGGCCTCTACCAGCTCTATGATATAAAGAAAAAGAAAATAATATTATTAATGTCATAGAAGTATTTTTAGTAAATAAGGGCAGCCATCACTGCTAGTCTCCAAAGGACAACAGAAAATCATGGGGATGGTGTGTATGATATAAATGCCTTTTGGGAAGATGCATTATGACAATCCAATACATCTGCCATCCAGATGTCTTGCTCTCATCTCTTCCATTTTTGCAATTGTTTCGGAGGAGCTTGGGGAGGGAAAAGGCTACATGAGGACAAAGGAAATTAAAACTCCTGCAGAAATGCTACTTTTCAGTAAACAAATCGCCAGGATTGAAACAGTAGAGTATTTATTTTGACTTTATATATTTGATATGTGGTATAGGCTATCTGTGGCTGTTTTCGGTTTCCAGTTTCCAATGACAGTATAATCGACCCAAGGAATTGTTTCTTCTTATCACTTTAAAAAGGCATTAATCTGGAAATAGAATTAGTAGGTGGGGATTAAAGAAAATATTTTTTTTCTGGAATTGGTTCTGCTTCCTGCCAAACAAAAATGTAAACTCATTGGAATCTTTCAGAGGTGCAATTGGTGGGTATGTGATGGTGTGGAGGCTTAATGATGCTGGAACCACCGGCCAGGAATGGTGTGCACTCCGGCAGTTCAGCCCCCAGCACCATGAGACAGAGTGAGCTCCTGTCATTTGATCCATAGCTCCTGCCCACCCAACACTTTAAAAGCAGGCAATATTGCAAGTAGATAAATGGTTATCACTTCGGTGGGGGAAAAAAAACCTAGCTGCGTTCATGTGTGCGGAGAGCAGAAGCCAGTGCTAGATCTGGCCAGATGTGAGGCATTGCCACATGAGGCGAGGGCACATTGGCGGAGGAGTCTAGAAGAGTAACAACACAAGCACTACTAGCTAATTGGTGTATAGCTAGTTTGCTCCCCGTGACGCACCGGGTATAGGTGTACAAGCGCCGAATGGAATGAACTAGCAATGTAGGCTGTCCGGGCTGCATTGTGTCTAGCATGTGTAGATTTCCTTGACGTTGTATGCCATGCTCTAAATAAATACAGGTACAATTAAAAAACCTGCTCCATTAAAAAAAAAAAAAGGTAAAAATGCCTTTTCTCAACTTCTTGGGATTTTGCTATGCAGTTTTCATGCAGTTTTGCCATAACCGTTTTTGGAGCTGTTTTTTCCCCTTAATGTAATCCATAGTCCTGGAATCCTACAACTTTAAAATGTGTAGATTTTAACTTCCAGAATTACCCAGCCAGCTTCCTTGTTCAGTGGGGCAAATTAGCAAAACACAGAAACGATGCTTTGTCTGTTGCTCCTAGCAAATGAAGCACTCAATTATGGATTTTGGATTTTTTTTAAAGGAACAGGTGGAACTAATTAGTTTAGTACACAGACATTATATAATGATGATAAATGCATACTCTCACAAAATCTTTAGTAAGATTCTCTAATTTAAATACTGAATTTTGCTAATATATTATGGCAACATAAATGTAATTAGTGGTGCCTTTGTACTATCAGACATATAATCACTTCTGGCTTCCAGTTTAGCAATTACTGCATCAAGTTCATTCTAAAGTACTCAGGTCTGGAACAATTTTTGATTTTTTAGCATGATAACATAGTGTAGGTGAATTGGAATAGGTTCAAAGGACATGATGAAATTTGTCATCCAACTGAAAAATAAGTTCTGTTAAAAAGCTTGATGGTATTGGGTATCTTTAACATGAAATTGAAAAGAGTAAGAAGTGGAGGACAGATGTGATAATTCACCCCAAATACCTGAAGGGATGTTATGTAAAAAGGGGGAAACAGTAGAATTAATTGGGTTCAGAAAAATCACAGACGGGAAGGAACGATTTAGCCCCTGAACCCAGCTCCTACTTGCTCCTGGAGAGATGTAGTCAGAAAAGCATTGAGTAATCAGAAGGGTGATTCTGGGCTCCCTTCAGTGGAAGTGGTCAAGCAGAGGTGAGAAAGGTGTTTCAGAGATGTTTTACCTGCACAGAATACAGGATTGGATTCAGTAGCCTAAACTGATTGATTGATTGATTATGTGCCATCAAGTTGGCTCTGTCTCTTAGGAACTACATCGATAGATTTTCATCCACTGGGTCCTTTAGTGGTGCCATTCACTTTGCTGGTAATCATCCTCTTATCTTTCCTTCCACCTTTTCCACAATGTGTCCAAAATTTGGTCATTTGAGCCTGGACATTTTTGTCTTGAGTGAGAACTCTGGGTTGATTAGTTTGATTGTTTCCTTGGTTAGATGACCCAACTGGCCTCTATTGATACTAAGATTGTAGAAATCCAGACAGAAACATTCTCAGAAAATGTCTATCCACTTAAGTTTGAGCAAATGTAAGAAATGTTGTCCCATTTCCTTGCCATATCTTCAGTTATGTTGTCTCACTACTGATACCATGTTTCTCCAAATACCCAGCAGTCAGCCTCTATCTCAAGATTATTAGTCTGTGTCCTGAAAAAAACATTTACTTGTCAGTGTTGCAAAGCACTGAGCTGTCATAAAGAATTAGTCGCCTATCTAAATAATGACATTGGCCTCCTTTGGCCAATTGCTTTTTTAATTTAGGCATCTTAGCCCGAGAAACGTTTTCAACAGTGAAGCTTTCACCAAGAGTTAATAGATCCTTTTCCTTTTCTTAAATCTTCTTTTTCTTTTGTTCACTTGCAATAAGCACAATTGTAGTTCATTATACACCATTATCCTTTTGCATGTTGACGAATAGCTTCCATTGTTATTACACATTGCTGGAAAGAGCCCATTAACACCATTCCTTGTTTACAAGCACACGGATTCTAAGATGTGGCCTGAATCAAGGCAGATATGCATGTCCCAGGATAATGTTGCAGGATCCAGTCTGAGTCGTCTCTGGGAGCAGAAGTTTAGTTTTCTGAGCTCCAGGACTTATCGACAGCTTTACCTCAGAACTGTTACTGCATGGCCAGTATGACAGAGAATAATGTTCCTCTAGCATGGCAGGTATGGCAATGTCAAAGGATTTTGGGACCTGTATTCCCATAATACAAGGATACGAGACTACTTGGGGACAGCATGCTGGCTGGGGAATTCTGAGCATTAGAGCCCACACATCTTAAAACTGCCAGATCTGAAAAACACCAGCGTAGAGGCTGAGGTACCAGATTAGAAAACAAGGAAGGACGAGTTCTAAATCTCCCTTAGACATGACAGCCAATTGGATGACTTTGGGCCAGAACTCTCTCTGAGCCCAACTCATCTCACATGGTTGTTGTTTTGGGGAAAATAGGAAACATTAGGTATGTATATTACTTTCAGTTGACCAAAAATAATAGTGGGGTTAAAAAAATTAAGTAGCTCACAAGAGAAAGGAGCAAAGATTTGTTGAAACACAGACAAATTGACTCAGTATGAATGGCATAGATAGGGTGGGTAGAAAGTGATGTATAAGTTACTCTGAATAAAAGGGAATGTATACTAAAGAGTGTGTGTGGAGTGTGTGTACATCTTTAATTTTATAAATGCTGCCATTTGCTCTAAATAAATTTACATCTTTTATGAACTTGGTACCCTATTGCTCAGATACTCACTGAGTCAAGGATACTCTGTTTGGGCTGCTGCTGGTCACCTGTCCATTCACATCCTCTGCATCCCCTTCCTTTGATTTGCACAATGCTGCAGTTCAGGAGTAAGGTTGGACCAGTTCCCCATTAAGCAAGATCCAGGCTTAGTATCCAGGGGCCAGTCCAGCCGGAGGGTGAGGAGCTGTGGCAGAACCAGCTGTTACCTGATTTAGATAATACCTCTGCAATAAGCTAATATATACGTGCCTTCCTATCCAAGTCCTGAGATCTCCTCCTTCTCCTGTTTAGCTAAAAATAAACTTTGAGTCCCTGTACTTCCCAACAGCTCTGGCCACTCCGGTTTCCAAAAGGCTTTGTAAGTTGAAGGGAAATCATGCAGTTAGCTGGACTGATCAACAGACGTAGCAATCTTAAAAAATGTAATTGTTTGTTTCGCTTCACCTGTCACAGTAGGAACCCAAGGGCCTCTACTTCAAAATAGAAGAACTACAAAACTTACCTTAAGGCCAACTGGGGACATCATAGTACAGCTTCACTTCTTTCCCAGAAAGCACCCTGTGGAGTAAATAACCTGCCTGGAAAAGTGTGCATAGCCCTTATCATCAGCGCAGGATGTGAAGGCTGTGACAGCTTGCCCTTGCTGCCCCCCCCCTCATCCCATGCCAAGATTCCTTAAAAAGGGAGAAGGGGAGGTGTATGCATTGGCTAAAGCAATTACATATTAGCTAATGGGAAGATTGCCCTGAGGAGTAGAGGTGAAGGGGTGAGACAAGTCCACCAAATGCTCCATGTTAACCAGTGGATAGGTTGGGTCAATTAAGTCATTCTCCTAAGCAATGTTTTATATTGCATGGTAAATGCACTTTTCTGTTCCCAAATCATGTTTTTCTACCTCCATTTCCATGTGCCATGTTAATCTAGGACTATGTGTAAAGGGAGCTCCCAAATTCCTTAAAGTAGCCCTACCTCTGAGATGCTTTTAAAAATCTTAGCTATTTTTTCAGAAGGCTTGGGATTTACCATGATTGGGTATATAACTTGGGTCCATCCCTGGAATACCTGATAACTGGAGTGCAGTGATCTCTTTGCTGCCCTTTATTGGCCAGATTTGTGCAGCTTAAATTAAAAAAAGGTATAGGCTTCGCTTGTCCAGTTGTGTCTGACTCTGTGTGTGCGCGTGTGTGTGTTTGTGTGCTCATCTCCATTTCCTAGCTGAGGGAGCCAGTGTTGTCCAAAGATGCTTCTGTGGTCATGTGGCCAGCATGACTATATGCCCAGGTGCATGGAACGCTGTTATCTTCCCACTGAAGTGCTACCTATTTATCTAGCTGCATTTGCATGCTTTTGAACTGCTAATTTGGCAGGAGCTGGGGCACAGTAGTCCTATTAGATGTTAAGCCTTGGAAATATTTGAGTGGAGGTATATTATTTTTGTGGTGAGCATATGATGGAAAATACAGGCAGAAAGATATTTTAACCCAACCTAGACAAGAGGCTGTTGCTTGATCAAAATCATTTATGTAGAGATGAGTTATATTGTTTATCTTTATTTCAAAAATACCTTATTATTGAAAGTGTCAATATTGCAAGTGTTGATAATTTATCTGGGGAGATGGTTTGCAAGAGAAAGGGCTTAACTCTTCTCTCCCATACTGTTTCTTTCCTGGGAATCACCTTGTCATCCATTTAGTCTCACGGAAACCTGCAGTTTTAAATACCAGTATATTAACCTCCATCCCATTTTGTAGCAAATTCAAACTAGACTGGGAAGCATTTGCAGGAGGAAACAGTTGAGTCTCATCCTCATAATTATTCCTACAATCCAAGTAACAGCCTTATGTGGCTGCTTTGAAATTTAAAAAAGCAGGAAAACTAGAATTGTGAACGTTCTGCATCATGTATTAGTTGAACCTCAGGGTCCACTGGCAGGTATACAAGCTAATTTTCTTGTTCTACGCTTGCTGCAGGCTTCCCACAAGCAAAATAAATGGGGAAGGTGGCAGGAATGCGAGGGATGGAGGAAGAAATGATAGGGAGAGAGAGAAGAAAGGGGGAGGGAGGAGAAGTAGGCAGGGATGGAAGGAAAGAGGAGGGAGAGAAGAAATGAAGGAATGGTGGAAGGGAAGGAGAAAGGGATTGAGGAAAGAAGGAACAGGGAGGGAGGGAAGGGGGAAGGAAGGAAGGAAGGAAGGAAGGAAGGAAGGAAGGAAGGAAGGA